AGTCGCCTCGACTGAGGGACTCGGCGAGTATATATAGAAACAACGGGGCACTGACCCTAAACCGTTTCTAAGAAAGTAAAAGCCTAAAGAGTCGCCTCGACTGAGGGACTCGGCGAGAAAGAGTTAGGAAACAAGGGCCCAGACCCTTAGTCGTTTCCGAGAAAAAGCCAGAAGGAGTCGCCTCGACTGAGGGACTCGGCGAGTATATATAGAAACAACGGGGCACTGACCCTAAAACCGTTTCTGAGAAAGTAAAAGCCTAAAGAGTCGCCTCGACTGAGGGACTCGGCGAGAAAGAGTTAGGAAACAAGGGCCCAGACCCTTAGTCGTTTCCGAGAAAAAGCCAGAAGGAGTCGCCTCGACTGAGGGACTCGGCGAGTATATATAGAAACAACGGGGCACTGATCCTAAACCGTTTCTGAGAAAGTAAAAGCCTAAAGAGTCGCCTCGATTAAGGGACTCGGCAAGGGAAAATTAGAAGGTAAGGGAGAAGGGCTCGAAGCCTTAGAGATTTGTCAGTATTAAAAGAATTCGAAAACGAAGTGCGAAAGAAGGGGGAGTTTTTTTTCATTAAAATTAAGGCCGAAAAAGAGGCCAGCCTTTACAAAAAAAAAGGGGCTATCTTAAAAGGCCCTAAGCTACGAGGGATGGGGTGTCGACGTCGACCCCTTCAACTTGCGCCCCTGCCGTTGGTCCAGCTAGGGGAACAGAAGAAGGGTCCTCCGCTTGAGGAGAGGACTCGATAAGCTCTGGGAGCGTCGTCGTGGGAAGAGTCGACGGATCAGCAGGCGCTGCCGGCCCTTCAGCATCCAACACCGGCTTGAGGCCCCAACCCTCGGGAGTGAACGAGGAGTCGCGAGCCAGCAACGTGGCGTGGATCTCTGTCTGCGCCTCGCGGAAACTGAGGCGGTAATCGCGTTCGCCCAGATCCAGAAGGAACTCGTCGCCAGCCACTCCTTGGCCACCTCTTTCTTCCGGGCCTCCACCGCCGCTCTCACATCCGCCTCGAAGGCCGCCGACTTCTTGTAATCTTCGACGGAGGTCGCGGCGATCGTTGCCACCTTATCCCTTTCCTCCTCCATTGACGGGTAACCCTCAGCAGCTCGGAGTTGTGCACCTCCACCATCTTGAGGTGCTTCGCCTGCTCTTCCAGGAAAGCCTCCTCTGTTTGGCGCAGTTTGAGAACCGTGGACCGCATCTCGGTCCTAAAGTTCTGGAGCCGCTTGCCCATCTCCATCTGAAAGGTGAGGTTCTGCGCAGTTGTCACGAGTCAGACAAGGAAAAGAAAGAGCAGAGAATGGGAGCCGAGTCAGTGACACTTACGCGGTAAGATTGGCGAAGCGAGGCCTCGAGGATATACCCGTCCCCCAAAGCTTGCGTCGCCGCCACGTCATTAGGCAGGAGAACGTCGGCGCACCACTTGCGGACCGAGGCGGCGCCCATCCAGATTTGGGCATCGGCATCCACCTCGTGGCACAGCTGGATCTTCTTCGGAGTCGGCCCCTCCGTGTGCTCGGCAGGGCGCTTGGAGCTTGGGCTTTCAGTCGAAGGAGGAGGTGGCTGCCGAGTGGGCGACACCACGGGCGATGGCGTAAGATCGACCACGTTGTGAGAGGGTGGAGGAGTCGGCCGAATCGCCGGCGACGGCTGAGAGGAAGAAGCGGCGGCGGCACCGGTGGAACGCTGCGTCAAGCGATGCCTCATTTTTTCAGCCCTGTCCGCCATCTCTGGAGTCGGTGCAACGGCCTCGTCGGAGCTGGAGGAGTCAGAATCGTACGGACCTGCAAGAAAACCGCATAGTTGTGAGCGCTTCGGGTTAAAAATGACAAATAAAGAAGTAGGAGCGAGTTGAGAACGGGGTAAAAAAAAAGACGCTACCTATGGTGGCCGCGCCCTCCGGCAGTAGGCCATGCTTGGCCATGGCCCGGACCCGGGACCAATACTTGACCGAGTACGGCCCCAGGCTCTTCAAGAACTCGCCGCCTTGGACAGCATCTTCCGTAAAGACGGCGCGCCGAGAGCAAGGCTTGAAGAGAGTCGCCGGCCACAGGGTCGGAAAAGAGAAGGAAGAAGAGCGGGGTCGGACGAAAAAGTAAAGAGGCTTCCACTCTTTGATCGAGTCGGATAACCCCTCGAAGTCCGGGGGCGGCGACTTGAATGAAGCCAGGCGAGTGAGAGCCGACTTTGTTCACGGTAAAGAGGAACCGAACAAGTCTAGATCCGGCTCGCACTGCCACCAATGGCAGAGGTTAATGAAGCTGGTAAGAAGGCGGTGCGAATTGGGCACTAACTGGCCCGGGACCAGGTTATATAGTGCCGGAAAAGAAGTGAAAGAAATGGGTGAGGAGGCACTCGGAAGCCGAATGCGACCGAATGCAGGTGAATGCCCACAAAACCCTCCGGTGGGTTATGGATGGGCCGATCCTCCGCCACGACAACCATGGCCGAAGGGCTAAGCAAAAACGGGCCATATCAAGGTCCGCTGCCGTGGCACTCGACGGGAGACCAGACGGTCTGACTATCGAGTCGAATTTGCCTCGCGGCCGTTCGACGCCGTCCGGCAGAGCCGCCACCGTGGTTAGCGGCTGGGCTCATCGGAGTGGCGCCCCAGAAGAAGAAGGGGTTGGAAAAGAAGAAG